TCTTTTTACTTAATCATGATCTTGTTTCTTGATTATCTGATTATGATTATTTAGGCTATAAATCCAATCATTGCACAAAAATGTTGTTTTTGGTGTTGAAATGTACTCCAACAATACTCCAAAAGCACACAATGTTGGTGAACAGTAACACACAAAAATATTGTTATACTATTCACTTTTATACCAAAAACGCCAAACTTATTTTTTGCACATTAAATCTTAATATATTTAACATAAAAAGTAGAAAATTAATTGGTATATAATATATCATTAAAGAAAATCTGTTCAAGAGCTTTAAAGACGATTCCAATATTGAGTATGATATTTAAAACTTTTGGCATACATTAAAAAGTTGTCATTTTAATTTTAGCAAGTTTTGATCAACATAAAATATTTTAGAAGTTAAGAAATAACTAATTGCATATTATATATAAAATTAGTTATTTAGTTATTAAAATATAATAGATGTTTATTGATATGATGTTTATGGTTAGTTGTTGGAATTAAAGTCGATATTGCTGATAAAAAATCACCATTTTGATGTATTATTGTTGTAGCGGGGGTACCCCTAGAGAATATTTTATATCTTGGTGGCCCGAACATTGCTTCTGAGATTTACAACAAGGAGTATGCAAATGCTCGAATTTGTGGGGCCGAAAAGTGGAGGGTCCCACTTGCAAAATTTCTAAGGCAACCACATTTCATCGTATGGGACAATAGCGACCTTGTCACACATGAAGTCATGGGAGGTTTAAAAAATGTCTATGCAATTGGAGCCGGTATGATCTAATCTTCCTTTTTTGTTACTTAAATTTCCATTATTGCACTCGATTCAAAATAAAGTTTCTGCAAAAGGGTTATTCTGTCAGCAAACCCTAAGTTGACCCACACTATATCCTATCAGCAACATCATGTCAAATGTAAATCAAGTACAGGAGTAAACAACAGTCTGCTAGGTGGCTGACATAACACTGCTAAATTTTTTCTTGATGCGTATAGGAATGGTGGCGGCCCTAACTAACGAAAGTGCGACAAGCAAATCCGTGTACTTTGCACATTGTACATCGGAGATGATTTTTATTACTCATTTGTTGACAAAAGAGCCCGAAAAGCTTGCGGGCCCGTTGCTTGCGGACACTTATGTGACACTTTTAAAAGGACGTAATGCATGGTATGGTCAAATGATTGCTAAGGGAGAATTGAGCCTAGATATGGGTGATAGCATCAGTGGTAAAGGGATGATCCAGGTAGTACTTTACTAATATGAATAAATGCAAGATTTTCTTTTTAGCACTCTCAATATAAATTTACGACTTTATCCCTATAGCAAGAGCTTAGAAACTTATTGGGCTTTTCTTTTCAGGGAGTGTCTGCGGTGGGAGCATTTTTTGAACTTCTGAGTCAATCAAGTTTAAGTGTTTTACATCCTAACGAAAAGAAACCAGTGGCACCAGTCGAGCTATGCCCAATCTTGAAAACACTCTATAAAATACTCATAAAGAGGTCATGGTTTTCTTTACTTCATACATTTTTGGGTTAGATGTAAGAAGTAGCAATGTAGTTTTGTTTAAGAAACTATAACAAACAATTAAATAAAAGTATGTTGTTATTTTTTGCATGGTTTCAGGGAACAAGGTCCTCGAGCAATTCTTCAGGCATTGAGAGATGAAAACTTGAATGATCCTCGTGAAAGAATCGAGATCGCTCAGAGTCATGCGTTCTACAAACCTTCACTTCTTGGCCAGCCGTAACCGCGTATAAGATTTTTATGTAAACGGTTTTTGTAACAACTTATGGGAAGTTATATATATATATATATATATATATATATATATATATATATATACCTTTAAAGCTTTCGATCATGGGAGTGTACTTTCAAAAGTTAAATTGAACACATTGGTATCTTTTTCTATTCATCTTAATTTATTAGAAGTCATGTTTATTTAATGACTTGGATCACAATCTCACATGTTTGTCCAATTGTTGATGGTTATTATTTGATTCTCAATCTATATCAATCTTTATTGTATTCTTCAACTTTCTTTAGGGTTAATGTCATTCTTGGTCAACAAACTATTGGTGTGGTCATGAATGTGATGGTCACAATTGACAGGACCAGTATTCTTTAACATTGCAATCATTGAGGTGAACGTGTTTGTGTTTGGCTTTTTGTGAACTTGAAGAAGGTGAGAGATGGACAGTGTTCTTCATATCTTGAACACCACAGTGTTCTTCATATCTTGAACACCATTAAACATAACAATAGTAATAGATTTTAAAATCAATAAGTAATTTTTAAATTTTAAAACAATTGATTTTTAAAAAGAAATACTCATATGGACACTGTGTCAACGGCACGTGGACTAGTTCAGATGACCAAAAAGCCATGCGGCATGCCACATGAGTAAGGTAACCGGATGACCCCTTCACAATGGCCAAAATGACGTTTTTGACATCGACTTTGAAGGTTTGTTGATATGTAATGCTTAAAAAAGATTGATTACCAAATAAGATCAATTTTGAATGTCAAGGGTTCCATGGCATCCATGTCGATTCATTGTTGCTTTACCTCATTAAAACTTTGGAAGGGAGGAACAAGAAAAAACTTAAAAGAATATTATGAGTAAAATTATAAGTGGCAATTTTATTATAAAGGTTAATTGATACATAATTTTCATTAGGGTGGTGTTATAAGTATTAAAAAAAGTATCTTCACAATTGCCAAAATGGCGTTTTTAGCATCGACTTTGAAAGTTTGTTGATATGTAATGCTTAAAAAAAGATTGATTACCAAACAATATCAAATTTGAATATTTTCATGGGAATCTCATATCTGTCAAGGGTTCCATGGCATCCATGTCGATTCATTGTTGCTTTACCTCATTAAAACTTTGGAAGGGAGGAACAAGAAAAATTTAAAAGAATATTATGAGTGAAATTATAGGTGGCAATTTTATTATAAGTTTAATTGATACATAATTTTCATTAGGATGGTGTTATAAGTATTAGAAAAAGTATCCTATGCTATCTTAATTTATTAAATAACTAATAAGATATAAGAATGTTTGTTTGTCATTTATCATGTTAAGTTGTTAAATAATCATGATTTGACAAACATTACAAAAAACTTATTATCATATTAGTGTGATATAACTAGTAACAACAATAATGTATTCAAACATCAACTATTGCATATTACAGATTTATTGTCTATCTCTTTCCTTATAATTATTTTTCAGAGCATAATCCCAAGCACCAACAAAACAATAAAAATATGTTGATATGGCATTGTCAATATGTCGTGTATTTAGACGACCGTGACAATATTTTGTTGTAAGTACAAAATTTCTTAGGGAGTGAGACGTCAAAGCTTCAGCATTTGTGGAAGTGCACGGTGCATACCATGCCCTTACCTCGACATGCCAAGCTGGAAAGGGTACCTCGGTACCCCACTTCCGAGTCTCCCTCTCTTGACTTGTTTGACTAGCCAATTTGTAGGCCTTTAAAATAAAATAAAAAAAAATCAATTCCAAAACACTATTGATACAAACCTAATACACCATTTTATACCACACCAACATTTTATTTTCTACAATCCTCAAATTGTCTTCATCTTCAAGAACTTTTGACATGGTGCTACAAGCGGCGATAGGCGTCGCTAACACGGTGGCGAGCAAGATTGAAGAATAGTACAAGGAGGAAGCCGAAAATGCAAGGCGGGAAAAAAGTAATATATACAAAGAAACCGTTAAGCTGCCCACAAATGTCTCATGCACAATTATTTTAGTGAGCATGTGGTTTTTCAAGGTTTCTTTTTTCAACGACGGTTCCAAATGCACAAACATTTGTTTCAACATATATTTGACGACGTCACCGAAGCATGTCCATATTTCTAACAACGTCCAGATGCAAAGAGGTACAATAAGTTTTAGTCCATTACAAAATGCACAACCACATGAGAAATCATTCACAAATTTGCAAGTATGTCATGGTCCACGATATTTGTATAAACGTAGTTACAATGACATCCAATAATTGTATGGTCATCATACAAACATACATGTCTTCCTTGGAATGTTAGTAAGTTTTGATTATTTCCATTGGGAATGAGGAAATTGTTTGAATGCATATCATGGTCAATACAAGAGAGGTAATCAAGACTATCAAATTGTTGTTGACATGACATTGTATTGACACGTCATACATTTAGATAAATATGACACCACGTTGTTTTCACATTTGATCTACTCAAACCCTAATTAAATATGATTGTGCGATGAACGTTGTATTTTACTGATTTTAAACTAAAATATTTTGCAAATGATTTAGTAGTGTCATATTTGATCCTTTTTGCATAATGTCATCATCCACATATTCTAGGTTTACCTTTGATGTCAAATACCAAAGGGGTTTTGTTTCAAAACCATTATCTTGTTGTAATGGTCTAATAAGAACAATTATACGGATTAACACAAGCATCTAAACCCTTGGAATATCTACATCGCTCCAAGAGAGGGGCATGGATCCCAGTCGGCATGCACTCTTACCCGCAAATTTATATAAAAAAATGTGAACATAAGAAAATTTAACCCCCAGATTCCATTGACAAAATTATAAGACCTGCTCATTTTTTAAATTATAAAGATCTAGCTCCTCATTTCAATCAAGTTTGAACAATTGTCAAATAAGGAAAGGGAAGAGGAAGTATTGAAATTTTTTTAAGGATAACTTTTTAAAATATTGGACCCGGTTAGATTTTTTCCTAAACCCACCACTAATTTAGACAACAAAATGATAAATCAAGGCTTTAACTGATACTGTAAATATGATTATTTTCTCTTTATAAAAACTATTGATGGGTCTATGTGGTGTTATTAGTTTACTTTTTCTGAATAGCAGAAGTATGTATTATCACATCTACCAAATGTTAGTGTATATTTATGCAGAATATAGAAGCAATACATCCATATACCAAGCAAGAATATCAGTAAACAACTATCAACATCACTATATCTCCCGTAGGGTTCACTATCAAAACAAGTATATATCTAGCATGTCAATTCTAATACGGATTCATTCTTTCATTTCTATATAATATACCCCTCAATGTATATAAACAACCATCAAGCAGCCATACCTATGAGTCAAACTATGTCAGTTTCACCACACCACACCACCATCTCCTATCTTTTCTGCTTCCTTTTTCCTACATTCGAATCAAATTAAAACATATATATAATGATAATCTCATAAAAAAAATTATAAAAGAAAGGGTACCTGTGTATACACCTTCAACAATCTTGATTCCTAGTGCCTGTGCGAGTTCTATTTTGCGAAGTTTAGAGTAACCTCTTAATCCGCGTTGCCTAGCAATAGCCCGCAAATCATCTAGTTTATAACAATCCATATACATGTTTGCCACATCAGCACCTTCAATTAATAGGCATGGTGATCTTGAGCTTGTCTGCAACATTAATGGTGGTGAATCATTAAGTTTCTCTCTCCTTTTGTATATCTTGGTAGAAACTGAGACATTTGATTCTTGGAGTTGGACATCATCTGGATTCAAGTTTCTGTCTGTATTTGCCTTTGGTATGGATGATGATTCTATGGAACCTATACTTTCATCATCAGTCTGGTGCAATCAAATCAATAGAATATTAATAAAAAATATATTATATTATACAATGAGATTCTTTAATTTTGTATCTAACTTTTTTGTAAGAATAAAAACCTACCTGGGACTTGATTTTTACAAGCTGATATTCCCACTTCTCCATGGAGCCCCGAGAAAGACCGGTATACTGTATAAAAAGTATCACATCAAATTGATGTATAAAATGGTATAAAACTAATTACAGTATCTTTAAAATTATATGTTATTGAAATGCTTTATAAATTTAAGCACCACATAACTTACATCTTCTACTTCTTCAGTCTTGACTCTCGTCTGTGAAATTTTATGTTTCTCCAATGAAGTGTTGATGACTTTTTTGTTTTTCTCCATTTGATTAGCATTTGAAGAGCTTCCTGTTTGTTTTTTCTCATTTAATGGAATTTCTGAATGCACTTGACAGCTGGAGCTTGCAATATTTTTGATATTATCTGCAAGCTTTTGATTTTAAAGGGAAAATAAAACATAAAGGAGATTGTCTCTTTTAGAGAAGTATTTGTTAAATATATGATATATAGGTTAAGGTCAGAGTAATATGCATTGTCAACCAAGTATACTGACAATAATGAATAAAGCATAAAGCAGATATAAAGGCACTACTAGCGAAATGACATTAGTCTTTCAATTGTGCCATGTCAGTTTCGTAATTACCATCCACATTTGTGTAATGTCAACACTATTTCAAAAGTGGACCCCACAGACACTTCAACAACTACTTTATACCTTTTAAGATATATCTTGAAAGATTAAGCATGGCATTGCACTTGCATATGGTTTGCAAGAACCTGTGTGGTTGCTCTAACAAATAAGTCTCAAAAAGCTTTATACTTTAATGCCTCCCAAGGTTTATGCTTTATTGTCTACATATCTGCTTTATGCTTTATTGTTTGTATATCTGCTTTATCTGTACTATATAACATGAGAGTGAGAGGGAGGGAGAGAGAAAGAGGGATCTGGTAGTGTCCAAATACTAGACCTGTTTATCTTTCTTTTGTATGTAACGATGGAAAAGAGACATGAGCATGTCAAGCATGCTTTCAGCTGGTTTCCTGGTTGTTGTTGACAAAGAATCTCCAGCATCATCCTTTAATTTCCTTATTGATCGATCAAGAAAATCAATCTCCTTTCTCAAGCACATAGAATACATATTTGAAAACTCTTCATCAGTGCAGGCGAGTTGACTCAGTAAGTCCGTAAGTTCATCTTCAAGTCCAATGATGTCAGTATCTGCTTTGCTTATCAAAATCCTTAGCACCTCTATGCAACTTATCTCATTTACAGCCGCCTCTTCTGCTACATCTACAGGTTCAGTGAAGAAGTTTGTAACATGAAACTAACATAACTAAATATGTAAAAAGTGAAGTAATTTGACAGTGAATTACCATTAGCAAGACAAAATGCACACTGGCATCCATCATTTCTGCAATCAGTGTCTTCAATTGCTGCAAAGTAATAATAAAAATATAAAATGATATGAAACATCTAGTGATCTCTCTTATAAATATGAGGTTTAGAGAGAGAATCAGAGAATAGAATGAATGTTGAAGGAAAATATATAGAAACCTTGATAATCAGGTGGGTCCCAAAGGCCATCCATAGTTCTACAGACAGTTATCTGAAATACAGTTAAAGCAAGCTCTAATTAACCTTCATTTAACTGATGTCAAAATTATGATCATTCATCCTACCACATCAAGAGGTAATCCAGCAGAAGTCCAAAAAATTCATCAGAGTAGCATGAAAACTAAAAGGATAGAACATATTTTATACTATAATAGTCCTCACAGTATGTTGTTTTGACTAGCCATACATTGAATGAATGTTAATTAATAGAAGATATAAAAGTGTATAGAATCTAGATCCCATTGTAACAGTTTGAAGAGGATGGAAGGATTGCATTAGAAAAGGAAAAAGGGGGAAATGAAAAACAAGTAACAAATTGTTGTTTGGATTAGTAATGGAAGTCACTACCAACAAGGTCAGGTATGGTAATCAATCAGATTCTAACAAGAACATTAATGGAAAACTTGATATTACATAAATCAGAAATCAAACGAATCAAGATATCACGAGAAGTATGAGGTAATTACAAAGAATCTACAAAGATATTTGCTAAAGGATAAAGTTTAAGTGTCAAAATCCAGTAGAATCGACGAATAAATTAGTAGCAATCCCCTCCCCCCTTGCAGAATCCTGGCCGCAACCCAAAACCCCGGACACAATAGGAAATTTTATATAGCCATGTCATTTCTTGATCACAGAGGCTTTAATCAATCGACACACACGATGATCAAACGCACATTAATGGTACATGAACTGCAAAACTCATATGGATGACATAAAATACAAATTTCAACAGAACGAAGTAAACTGACATCGAAAAAATCACCAAGAACAAGAAATCTAGATATAAATTGAAGATATTTGGATGATGTTACCTTTGATTCTGATCGGAAAACGGGACGGAGGGGAGAATTGTTTTGAATGTTCGGAGACGAAGGAAATTGCGAGTATTTAGGGTTTTGAATTTTTTGAAATTGTACGGATAGAGTGTTGGAGAGGAAGAGCAGGAAAAGATACAGTGCTCCGAAGGTACTGTTAAGCAAAGTACATGCAGAGCAGAGCAGGCAGGGTGGCAGTGTCGTAATTTTTCAATAAAAGGAAGTTTGTCGTTATCGTCACGTGGACCTATGCAGATATTGTGGGGACTATTGAGAATGATTGGTCAAACTCGATGATCGTAATCGGGTGTGATTCTGCTTACGGATAATGATGGGTTCTCGGACTTATAGCAAGACACGTGGATTAAAAGAAATTCAACCCAACCTCATATATAAAGATCTAAATGATTTCATCAAATACGAAGGGAGCTAAAAAAATTTTATCATATACACAATTTAAAGGTTTTTTTTAATAGTGTATAATTTTTTAAAGCATAAGTTATTATTTATGGCAAAAATTGTAATATATAAGTAAGCTCTCTGTAACCTAAAAATATGTTTATATGACTTATAAGGAAATGTTACTTTTCCATTCTATAAGTTATTGAGTCTTTTATAAGCATTGTAGTAATTCAATTAAAAGTTAGTCTATGAATGACTAAAAAATCATAGCGCTTGGCAACTGGCAAGGATAAAGTTACCTATGAATCATTAAGTATTTCTCTTAATCGTTCAACATTTGAAAACCCTCTGAACTATTAAGTTTCCTAAAATACACCTTTTGCCCTAAAAAAAATGTATCCATCTCTTTGGAACAATGTCTACGACGCATGACTTCTCCTTTTTATGTTCTTTAATCTATGCCTCTAAAGTCTCAAACTATAAACACCCTTTGTATGGGTTAAAAAGTATAATGTTTTCTTTTTTTAAATATTAAACCATTTTAAAATTCATCAAATGCAAAAATAGGTCACAAACTGACTCATTAATTACTTTTATTAGAAGAACAAGGACAAGAGTGGTATGATGCGTGTGATAAGCTGTGGTGTTTTAGCTTAACCATCGGCATAGATTTTTCAAGCTCTCATCAGTGTATGGTACACTACACTGAATCATAAGGCTTTAAAGAATAAAGTAAGAAGAAAATAGATTGTTTCAGTCATACTGAGGTGGAATCAGCATGAATCATCAACAGTGATAACCCATCAACAAGAAATGGTTTAATCCTTACATCATAGAGTTAGTTACAGTCTAGAATCAAAGATCCACTGTCAATTCATTATGGTACCATATCATACCTCAAATTAGGAGGTCATGGACATGAATAACCCTTTGGCATTTAAGGACCAGACAAGTAACTCTTACACTGATGACTATGCAATCAAGGTAAGCCATTGGGTTATGCTCAATGTTTCAGCAGAACATGAGACTTGATGCATACGGCAAACATGCTTCTAGGGACAGAATCAGGTAAGGTAGTCAGGCGATGAGATGGTTGTCTAACGTGGAGGGTTGTTTCTTCACGTGTTCTTGTCCAGATGACCAGAAGGTCAAGTGCGCCCTGAACCTTCTCAGTTTGGGGGCAAGGGATTGGTGGAGATTGGTGACTAGTTCTTATACTCCTGAGTAGAGGGCAGCGGAGACTTAGGAACAATTCTCGGAGATGTTTCGTGCAAGGTATGTTCCCCTGGTAAAGAGGGAGAGACTGGCCCATGACTGTCTGGATCTGAGACAGACGACCGAGTCGGTGACGGAGATCACCAAGATGTTCACTGAGAGGGCTTTGTTCAGTCTTGAGTTCACTGCTGCAGAACAGGCTCAGATGACTCGGTATTTGAGCATGCTCAAGACGGATATTCTACAGTTCATGTCCATCCAGCGCTATGGTTCTCTCGCTGAGCTTCAGGAGGCGAGAGATTGAGATAGGGACCCAGGCGAGGGAGCAGTGTCAGGCTCCGGATCAGTCCCAGTCTGTAGCAAAGCGGTTCAAATCTGTCGGCCAGAGTTCGGGATCAGTTGGAGGGAGGTGCAGATCTGTTCCATGTCGTCGGTGTGGCGAGGAGGACCATTTTGGTAGAGACTGCAGGCGGAGTGTACGAGTTGTTTTTCATTGTGGTCAGGAAGGCCACATTAGAGCTCACTGTCCTTTTCTCATAAAGGTGTTGGATCCTATACCCTTAGCTTGGCAGTTACCCGATGGTCGTCAGGGGACCGTCGGGGTCCCGAGGACCGAGATTTGAGTTGGTAGTTCTTCTAGTTATATGTTGTGGTAGTATTGGTATTTATCTGTAATTATGTTTGTGTTTCAAGGTTCAGTTGTAATCTTGGATGATCAATTGAATGGAATTATCTTATTAGCTCTATTCTGATTGAATTCTTAGTATGAATGGATTGATTATCTTTGTCGTTGATTATATTGTGTTTTGGAATGTATGAATGATATGTGGATTCAGACCCTACCATGTATCAGGATATCAGGGGTTGGAATCGAGAGGCAGCGTTTGAGTTAGTCTTGGTTTCGGAGGACTATGTAGTTCTCAGTTTCTAGCATATTTCAAGTGGGGGAGAGTGGAACCTCGTGGCAGGGAGAATTTGTGCCAAGGTTCGGTTCTCGATCAAATTTCTCTAAGTTCCAGACTTCTACGCAACTGCTAAATATTCGGGTTTCGCGACAAGATCACCGCCAGCTGTTGGATTTTCCCTTCGATTTGTATTTATCTTAGTCGTAATAGCGTCCATAGGGCGTGCTTGTGCTTAGTCCCTAAGGTATTAGGAGCTCAGGTTGAGGGTTTGCTTGTCTGTTATTGTCTGATCGGGGGTGAGCCTCAGTGTTGATAGTGGATAACTAAGTTAGGCTATCGGAGCAGCGTAAGAGTGTGGTTCGGTTCAATAGGATATCAGTTAATTTTCATTGCGGTGATGCCCTTTTGGTGTGGGATTAGAGTGTCGGTGTTTGGCCGAGAAGCCTGGAGACCGATTGATTCTGCGGATTTTCGTTCATCTTGGTCGATGTGGGGGAGTGCATCATGAAGTAGAAGCGGGAGCTGATTTCGAGGACGAAATCTAATTTAAGTGGGGGGGGGGGGGGGGAATTGTAACAATTCGTTTTAAATAAATAAATAAATAAAATAAAATAAGTAAATAAATAAATAATAATCCCTAAAACCCCGAGATGTATTTTTTATAGTAAAAAACTCAAAATTATTAATCAATTATTTCAAATAAATTATTAATTAAGAGATATTTTTTTAGTTATATACAATTATAATCGTTGATTTAAATAAATACATGAAATTATATCACCTTATAATATATATTAATTTTATTTTATTTTTTATTTTAATGTTATTAATTTAATATAATTAGGATGTGAAATTTGAAATTTGAAATGAAGAATCAATTATTAATTTAATATAATTAGAATGAGAAATTTTAAATGAAGAATTAATATGTTGACATGTGGCATGATATGTGACATATAATATTAATGTTGATTTATAATATTGTGACACTTGTCAATAAAAAAATAAAGTTATTCATTTATTAGAATAGGGAGATTAATTGCTTATAATTATGTGTTCTTGGTGAATCTTCATGATTTGAAGGAAATTTGTAGATTAAATTACAGTTTTTTGTTTTTTTGAAATTGTTTTTGTGAGAATGTTAAAATGGCAAACTTCCGACAAATACACAACTTACCAAACAACCAGTCTTTGAATCATTCGGCTTCTACCAAACAACCAATTATATATGTTAAGTACTTCACAAACAGAATATGTTCTGTTAAAAAATATGGTTTAATGTAACAAGATATCAATTTTTTTTACCTATTTGCTTTTCATACTTTTTCACTCCGTTTCTTGTGTTTTAAATGTTATGAATATTGTTTAAATTGTTTTTTTTTTTGGAATTTAAAGATACAATATATTCAAAATGGATTCAATTGGGAAAAAACAAATCAGGAACCTGGACTCAAATTAGGCCCAATGGGAGAAGGATGTGTAGGAGTGTTAAAATTTTTAAAATAATAAACATTGGAAAACCAGTAATTAATCAATTTTTTATTCTGTTAGAGTTAAATTAGATTATCAATTTTTTCGACCACCCCCTAGTGTGACACAAGTGAAGTATAAAGCACATACCTTCGAACTTTATCACATAATAATTTGTAAACAGTAAATAGGAATATTGATTAGAATTTTTCCCAAGTTGTGGCCTAAAGTCCTCATAAGAATGTGCTACTTTGATTCTTTGAAGGCAACTTCAAATCACATAAAGCAATTCAATTGGGATCAAGGGAAAATTCACGAATTCAAAGTGCTATTTCAATACCAGAAACATTATCCACCATAACAGTTTAACAAAAATCTCATTACCAATAATCTACCAACAATATCAAAACTTGATAAGAAAACATACGATGAACATAACATTGTATAAAGAAATAGAAGAATTAATCAAAGAGTGAGAAACCCATGTCATCATCACTCTCCTCCTTTTCTTCCTTCTTCTCCTCAGCAGCAGGTGCTTCAGCAGCTGCTGCACCTCCAGCTGGAGCTGATGCTGCTGCAGCACCACCACCAAAAGAGCCACCACCACCACCACCACCAATAATCACCTGCACAGAAGAGGCTACAAATATTTATATGTAGAACAGTTTTTTGGTGTTTGAATAAAGGACTAAAGTGTCTTACCTAACAATTTAACCTCACAAAACAATTGAGCTACTACTAAATTACTCTTAGCTTCAGATTTGATGAATAGTCAATTTATCAGTTTTGGTTTGAAATTAAAAAAATAAATCTGATATTTAAAACTAAAAAAACAAGGGAAAGTTGTAAACAAGAATTACAGATGCTCAAATATTTTGATTTTATGTTCAAACTTGTTTACCAAAGTCAGAAAAGAACACAGATAGCAGCAACAGGAATCGCTCGGATTAAATCAAAATACATAGTAAATTGTGCACAGTGATTGTCGTCTACTATATCAGAGTTAGATCTAGCGAAATAAGATACATAAAGATAATAGATATGTTTACTTCTAACATTTAAATCAAATGTACAAAGCAAATTCACCATGATTAAGGACTAATCAACGATTACCATCAATCAACCAACAGCGACATTCAAAGTAGAAATAGAGACAAACAGATATGAACAAATCAAAGCGTAATTATACCTGAAAAACAGCAGAATCGGGGAGGACGTAGCTGAAAGAAGACTGGATACCACCGGAAGAGTCGCAAGAATAAGCGGCCTGAACAAGAGACCTCTGAAGAGCGTAGGTAGAGTCGGCAGAGCCTTCAAGGTCTCCCTTTAGCTGCTTGGCAGTCCATTTGCCGCCGGAGGCTTTGCAGACGAATGTGAAAACTCCCATTTTCCGGCGCTTCTTCGTTGAAATCACAAGCAGCGGCGGTATGTATAATTCGTGAGAGGGGGGTCGTGGTGCTATTTTTCGCTTTATATAGGTGTGTGCTTAAAGAGAAGCAAAACCCTAACTAGCATCTAAAAGACAATTTTGTCCCTAGGGTTAACACCCTCGTGGCCTCATAATATTGGCTCAAGATCCATAATAAACCTTTGATCTTACTTTATTTTTGTTAATATATTCTATTTACAAA